TTGTGATGCCTCCAGAAGTTCTTTTATTGTACAGGATTGTTTTGGCTATCCTGGATTCTTTTGCTTTTCCATATGAAGTTGAGTACTGTTCTTTCGAGGTCTGTGAAGAATTTTGCTGGGATTTTGATGGGCATTGCACTGAATCTGTAGATTGCTTTTGGTAAGATTGCCATTTTTACTATGTTAATTATACCTACCCAAGAGCATGGAAGATCGTTTCACTTTCTGGTGTCTTCTTTAATTTCTTCAAAGATTTAAAGTCCTCGTCATACAAGTCTTCCACTTGTTTGGTTAGAGTTACTCCCAGATATTTTATGCTATTTGTGGCTTTTGTGAAGGGTGGTGTTTCTCTGATTTCTTTCTCAGCCCATTTATCATATGTGTACAGGAGGGCTACTGATTTTTTTTAATTAATCTTGTATCCTTCTACATTACTGTGTTTATGAGCTGTAGAATTTTTGGGGTCGTTTATGTAAACTATCATATCCTCACACCCAGACCTGCAGAGATCCTGGCTCAGGCCTAGTTCCTCAGAGGTCCTAGACTCACGCCCAGACCCACAGGGGTCCTGGCTCAGGTCTACTCCCTTGAAGGTCCCAGATTCACATCTGGACCCACAGTGGTCTCTGGCTCTGGCCCACTCGCTCAGCAGTTGTTCCCCTGTACTTGTTCCTGTGGCCTGATCTGGTCCAGGTTGCTGGCTCAGTCCTACTAAAAATATGGAACGCTTTACGAATTTGTGTGTCATCCTTGTGCAGGGGCCATGCTAATCTTCTCTGTATCGTTCCAATTTTAGTATATGTGCTGCTGAAGCGAGCATTTAATTTGTTTGTTTTAATGCCCATTCACTTTTGGTAAAATATTCATGATATGAATTGCCATTGCCACCATGTTTAGGTATAGGTTTTTACATTAGTGTACAGCCATTATCACCTTCAGTTTCTAGAACGTTTTGGTCTTCCCAGTTGAAACTAGACCTATTCAAAATAATAGTTCTTATTCTCCATATCTCTGCTGTGAGAACTCCTTCAGCCTTTGGGATGCTATCCCAAAATCCCACATCATCTCCCAACACCTAGAAGCCACAGTTGTATTTTGTGTCTAACTATTCCAGTTGCCCCATCTGAGTGGGTGCTTGCAGGGTTGCTCCTTTGTATCGAGCTTGTTCCACTTAGCATATCTTCAAGATTCACTCATATTGTCAGATTTGTGTGTGTGTGTGTGTGTGTGTGTGCTTGTGTTTGAGACAGGGTTTTCTACAGCCCAGGCTAGCCTCGAGGATCATTATATAGCTGAGGGTGGTCTTGATACTCCTGCCTCCATCTCCCAAATTCTGGGAATATAGGAATATACCACTACATGCTGTTTGAAGGCTGAATGGTTGGCTGTCTCGTATCTGCACATTTCTGTTTACTCGCCTTGGCAGCAGGCTTTTGGATTGCCTCTGCTGTCTGTGACTGCCCCAGCACTGTTGTGAGTAATGCTGCTGTCAACAGGGTTTTCAAGACCCTATTTTCAGGCTTTTGTGTAGATACCCAGACATGAGATTCCTGCCTCATTGCAGTAATTGTTTCAGTTTTTGAAAACACCCATGTTTCTTTAGCAGCTGCATTGGCACCAGCCATGCCCAGACGTTCCACTCTCATGACCATTTGACTTGATGAGGCTCTAGTGTATGGTTGGATGTCACCTGGTTCCACCTCACCAGGTAAAGGCACAGAGGGCCCTTTGCTTCTCAGAGCTCACACAGATCAGTCTGTTTCTTGCTAGCCCTGGCTTTTAGTCACGGTGGTGTCCTAATGAAGCACCAGAAACTTATATAAGCCCCTACTTATAGAACACTGGGATTTTTTTATTTTATTTATTTATTTTTTTTGGATAAATACTACTGGATATGTTTATGACAAAGGCTTTTTCCAAATACAAGATTATTCCCTTCTGGTGAGTTCCCAGAACTAGTAACTGCTGCTGTAAATAATAGCTGATATGGCATAAAGGTTTGCAGCAGGGCTGTGAGGAGGCTTGGTAGATAGGTAACACCTGAAAGCCCGACAGCCTGAGTTTGCTCTCCTGGATCCTCATGGCTGGAGGAGAGAACCAGCTCCTCAAAATGTTCTTTGATGGTCACATTTGTGCCGGGGCATGCAGTTCCTTGATGTCCCCATACATATGCGCGCGCGCGCACACACACACACACACACACACACACACACACACACACACACACAGTGAATAAATCTTTTTTTGTTTGTTTGTTCTGATACACAGTTTCTTTGTTTAGCTCTGACTGTGGAACCTTCTAGGTAGACTGGGCTGGCCTTGAACTTGAACAGAGATCTGCCTGCCTCTGCCTCTAGTACTAGGATTTCAGGTATGCACCATCACTGCCCAGCTTGTGAAAAAAAAGTTATGCCTACATAGGACACTTGCTGTGAATGGCAGTTCCAGGATTAGAGCTTGTCTGGCTCTGTGGTTAGTGTGAGGCCCAGGACATTGTGATGCACTACTACAGACTTTATAAACACTGACACGTAGGCCACACTCAATCTCCAAAAACCATTTTCTTCAATAATTAATTAACCTTAAATCACTATAACATTTTTACTTTATAAACTTTTTTGCATATATATATATAGTGGGGGGGCTGCATAAGTATATGTGAGTTGGGGAGGCATGAATGTGTGTGTGTGTGTGTGTGTGTGAGAGAGAGAGAGAGAGAGAACATGACTCGTTGCTCTCATATTTCATCCTAGAAGACATGGAAGACAGCTGTTCCTTTGGAGTGGGTCCATTCTCTGGTTAGGCAAACCCTCTTTGGCAGGAAAAACCTTTGTATGAAGTGGTCCAGACCAAGCCAGTCCCCTTTGGGGAACTTTAAACACCGAATGATTTTGTTGCTTGGCTGTTATTGCCTGGACAGCCTTCTTTGAAAAAGAAATTTGACAGGCCCAAGTCATGTGTTTATCCTAAGGCTGGGCCATTCCAAACTCATGTTTCAGAGTGTTGAGGTTGTGTCCAGCCATCCTGGTGGGTGGTAATCAAACACAGGTGGGAACCATCCGGCTGGCTCTGCCCCTCCTCCTCAGCCAAGTGAGAGCTGGCCTGCCCACCACAGAGCTGGCTTAGAAAGCACCCTGTGTGGAGACAGATGGTGTGCACATGTGTGTGTGCATGAATGCACACTCCTGCATGTGTGTGCATAGAGCTTTGCTCAGTGAGATGTGGTGTGAGTGCAAATGGTGCAGTGGCTTCTCTCTCTGAGCCCATGGATTCTCGCCCTTGTGCGGTCTATAACGCATATGTTCCTTTAGTCTGTTTCTCAAGTTTTTGCGGTTAGAAATCATGTATTTTCCTTGGCCCAAGATGAAAGCCCTGGAACAATGGTCTAATGCATTTTACAAAGCTGTCTCTAATTGGTGGCTGCCTGAGATCTTCCTTTTGCCCTAGTGACCCACGTCCCTGTGTAGAGTTTGGTTTAGTTGTTGATTTTTGAGACAGGGTCTCACTGTGTAGCTCTGGCTAGCCTAGAACTCACTGTGTAAACCAGCTGGCATCAAATTCACCTGCCTCTACCTCTTCAGTGCTAGGATTAAAGGCTGCTCACCACCATGCCCCAGCCTTTTACAGAGTTTTAAAGTCAATCTCACAGAGCTCTGAATTTCCACACACTTCCAAACCTGCGGCCTCTGGGAGGCAGCTTGCTTCCTTAATGTAGCTGTTCCCACAGACTCTGTGCAGACTTGACCCAAGAGTAATTCATCAAGGAAACGAATAGTCTAAATAGTGTCACTTTAAGCAGTTTCTAGCCTTGTCCCCAGGAATCCATGTGTGCCCTCTAAATAGTTTCCACTTCCCACCTGGAAACCAGAAAAACAAGCAGACCACACGTACGCACATCTTAGATGCAGTTGCTGGTGACTGCGACGATGTCTAAGGATGCATTTTCAGTCGGAAGGCCATTGCATGTGGCTCCTCAGAGGTGCTCTCTCCTGGAGTGGCGCCTGGAGGCTGATCTGCTGAGCACACAAAGCAAAAGCTGGGACTCCAGTCAGTGTCTTTCTGCCCAGTCTCCCATGTAGCCTCTTGGGGACGTTGACAAAAGAAGATGCTCTGAGGGGTTCCAGGGTTGGACACTGATAGTGTTTTCAGCTCTCAAGACGTAGAAGGAAAGTGTTGGCTGTCATTTTAGTTTATTTATGGCTTGAGTTTACATGTGTGTAATCATTGTGGTTCATGTTTGTACAAGATATAATTACTGAAAATTACATGATGAACATATTTTAACTCTTAACCCTTCTCATCCTGGTAAACTTTGTGGAGCTCTTGGGGACTCCTCCTTAGATACCTCCCTCACCTGAGTAGGTGTGGCACTCCCCCAACCAAGTTCTGCTCTTGAGTAGACATCGCTGCCCTCTCTGGTAGTAACCTGTCTCAGGGACTCAGCTGAGACTTGCACTGTTGTCCTTTGGGGTTCAGTGACTGAGGGGGATGCTCATGGGAGGTTAGAGAAGGTGGCACTCACTGATAGGTGTGGGGACTGACCTTAGGAAGAGAGTGGGACCTGTGACTTAGGAAGCCACTCAGTACAGCTAGGCATGGTGTCCCTGGAGGTGGAGTAGAAGGAGGCCATGTCTTCCCAGAGCACACAGCCACACTGTTGGATCATAGGATATGTGTCCTTAACAAACTCAGTGGGTACTCATTAGCAGTCTGAATAAGAGAGAAGCATAAGGAAGATTTTCAGTAGTGTTTCTTCTGTCATATAAAAGGAATGTCCTAGAACCACAAAACCTGGAACTTATAACTCAAGAGTTCCAGTGTAGGAGTTTGGCTGGGCTGACATCGTACATGTGTACCGGCAGCTCACTGGAGGGTAAAGCAGGCTTTGGAGAGACTTCTTTACCCTGGCATTCCCTTTAGGTTGAGGAAATCTTGTGATGACCACCACACAAAGACTGTATCCTGTGCTAGTTAAACTGAAAATGTTTTTCTCCTTTCAGGTTTACAGGAACAGATGGACCAAGTGGTTTTGGCTTTGAATTGACATTTCGTCTGAAGAGAGAAACTGGAGAGTCTGCCCCACCAACATGGCCAGCTGAGCTGATGCAGGGCCTGGCTCGATATGTCTTCCAGTCAGGTAATAGCCCAGAGGCTGCTGCTGTTCTGGTCCTGTGACTATCAGTCTGGTGGGCGTTGAGAGCTTGCAGGTGTATTTTGATGTCTGCAGAGTCCTTTCGTGGGTGGGGAACTATGTGGACCTAGGCAGAGACTGTGCCAGTGTCCTGATGCCCTCAGGCTTTGTCGCTGTCTGTCATAACTAGCCTGTTCCCTGTGCTCACTGGCCTGACTGTCTCCATGTCTGTTTTGAGGCCTCAGGCACATAGGCTAATCTTGGCTCAGCCTGGGCGAATGATAGAGACTGGAACTTGTTCCTTTCCCTCACAGGGTGGAGGGATGCTAAAATCAGAACCGAGTTAGATTATTCAGATGCCCTCTAAGAGATTGTCCTTTGCTCCCAGTGCCCACTGGGAACTGCTACAATGGATCTTGGGTAAAGTCTTTGTGCTGGGAATGGTCTTACTTTTTAGCTCATTCTGCCAGCACCCTCCAGCCTATGAAGGCTTCACAGCTCCAGAATATCTCTCTGTGGCTAGTTATGTGACCTAGATTTTTATCTTTGATTTGGTGTATGGCCTCCTTCCCTCTCCATTCTTTCCTCACTATGCATAATGACCTTGATGAGCTTGAAATGACACTTTGCTAGCCTCCAAGAGCTAGGATGACAGGTTCATACCTGCACCTAGGTGAGAGAGAGAATGTAAGACATAGGGATTGGAGCTGGATCTTGCACATAAAGGCAAGTGCTCTGAAACTGACCTGTATCCAATACTTTATTTTTATTCTGAGACAGGGTCTCATTAAGTTGTCCAGACTGACCTTGAACTGACTCTTTAGCCTGTGCCATCAGGTCTAACTTTGAAAATAGATTTGTCTTTGATGTAGAATTTGATCTGCTGTGGGAACAGGGACTCTAAAGATGAGGTGGTACTCCACTGCTTGTTAAAACATTCATCTTTGTCCCTGCTTAGGGAAATGTAAAGTAAATGTTACAAAATACTAGTAATTTCTAATGTGAAGTAATTTTAACATTATAATACAAATCAGATTTGTATTAGTGACTGTTTTATTTTGCCTTTTTTTGGTGGGGGCACAGAGAGTCTTTATATATAGCCCAAGTTGGCCTTGAACTCTCAATCCTCAAGTGATTAAAAAGGATGCTGGGACTGGGGAAATGGTTCAGTAGGTAAAGGTGCTTGCTGCTACCCTGACCACCTGAGTTGGATTCCTGGGATCCTTATGGTAGAAGGAGAGAACCCACTCCTTCAAGTTGTCCTCTGACCTCCACATATATGCCAGGGCACATGTGCCCACACATATATACACAAATAAATATAATTAAAAAAAAAAAAAAAGAAGAGCCTGCTGAGCCCTGGCTTGATCCCTGGAACCCAGATAATGGAGAGAACCAACTCCTCAAATTGTTCTCTGACTTCCATGTGTGCCACAGCATGCACCTTCATCCTCAGTAAATAAGTTGTTAGGAGACAGGAACTCAAAGAATAGCTCTACAGATTACTTATTTATTGATAGGAGGAAAAAGAGGGACTAGAGAGATGGCTTAGTGGTTGTTCTTACTGAGGACTTGAGTCCAATTCCCAGCATACACATGGTAGCTCACAACCTCCTGTAACTCAAAGTTCCAGGGGATCCAACTCATTTTCTAGCTTCCATGGGCTTCTACTCATGGATGTACAGACAGACGTACGTGCAGGCAAAATACTCATATACGTAAAACAAAAATAAATACATTTGAGAGAGAGACTCTTCTGACAAAGAAAGGTCTGAGCAGACGTCTCCACAGCTGAGAATAAGCTCTGTAGCACGTACAGCCAAGTAGTGGTACTTTGTGTCTCTCTGTCCATGCTGTCCGTGTGCAAGCCAGGTATGAGAAGACAGCTGAAGAGCATGTCCCAAAAGGTTGAACCTAGATCCCAGTAAGCTACAGCCAAACATGGCCATACTGCGGGCCATTCCACAGTGCTGCTTCCTGGATTCTGCCCAGCTAGGACTGTCTCCAATTTAAGGAAACTTGGTGGTTTACATGCTGTGTTTGATCCTTGACTCAGCCTGGGAGAAAAATGTCTGTAAGCTGGCTGGGAAGATGTGAATGTGAACTGTCTGTTAGGAACTGTCACTGTAGCATCCTCGTGCGGCTGTGGTATTGTGCTTATATAGGACTCTGTCTTCACTCTGGGGAGACAAAGTTTGGAATGCCTATAGATAATGCTAAATGGTTCAGCAAAAAAGTATGATATGTGGGAGAAAGCAAGCGTGAAGTGTTATTGTGATTAGGGTATCTGGATATTCACATTATGCCTTCTGACTTCCCTATAGACCCGGGTACTTTTGCACCAAAAGTTGTGGCTCTTTCTAAGTGTGTGTTGACAACTGTGTGCTTTCAAGTCCCTTCTGCACCAGTGGCCCCTCACAGCTTCTCCAGTGAACCGCTGTCAGCTATGCCTGCAGAGCAATCAGGCACTTCAGAACAACAGGGTGGCTTTTCTCTCTCTCGCTCTCTCTCAAAAAAAAAAAAAGAGATTTATTTATTTGTTATGTGTACAATATTCTGCTTGAAATACCAGAAGAGGGCACCAGACCTCATTACAGATGGTTGAGAGCCACCATGTGGTTGCTGGGAACTGAACTCAGGATCTTTGGAAGAGCAGTCAGTGCTCTTAACCTCTGAGCCATGTCTCCAGCCCAACTTCACTTTTAAAGTATAATACCTACTTTCTATTTTCCAGATTTTCTATGAAACCATTGTACTAGTTAAGTAATAGGTAAATCGGGTAGTGGTAGATCACACCTGTAATTCTGGCACCAAGGAGACTCTGAGCTGAAGACCAGCTTGGGCTATATAATGAAACTCTACCTCAAAACAAAATGAAACAAACAAACAAACAAAAAAACCAACCAAGTAAATAGTTCAATAAGTCTCCATTAAGTTTGTTTTGGAATTTTACAGAGAGTAGTAAGTTATTGAAACACAGGAAAGTGATGAGAACACAATGGTCCCTGATTGAGACTAAGGCTAACGGTAATGAGGACAAGAGCTGAGCTGTTGGTGTACCTGGTATTGGTTTTTGCTTTTGTTTTGTTTTATTTTGTGTTTAGAGGCAAACTCTGTGTAACCTAGGCCGAGTACGCGACCTTTTTCTGCCTTAGTTTCTTGAGTGCTAGGCCACTATGCTCAGTTTAAGTACTTTTTTTTTTCTCTTTCATACTGGGGATGGATCACAGGGCCATGTCAGCCTTACAGTTGCAGAAGACAACATCGAGAAGGTTAGTAACATGTCCAAGATCTCAGATCTCATAGGTGTGAAGGCAGGATTTGAGCCCAGGTAATGAATGAAGTACATTTTGCCCCAGTATTGTGTTGACAGGAACTCTGTGGACATCTGGTCTACCTGATGACACAGGCTGTACAATGAGAAACTTAAAAATCATCCATGTGGCTAAATGCTGCTGGTTCACGTGACCACTCTGCTCTATGATGGCTCTCTCAGTGTTAGACAACACTAATGCTCAGTAGGGTGACAGTCTGCAGTTCTTGGAAAATGGAGCTAGGCGAAAAAAGCATTTATAAAATCTCCAAAATCCTCTTAAATATATATCTTTTATTTTTTAAAGCATTTTTGTTGTGTCTGCAGCTACATGTGTATGGAGGTTATAGAACAACTTTGGTTATAGTTCTTCAGGAACTATCTGCCATATATATTTGATGACTTATTTTTATTTTACGTGTATGTGTGAATGTTTGCATGTATATATGTGTACCATGTGTGCCTGTACCACATGTATGCCTGGTGCCTTCAGAGGCCAGAAGATGGCATCAGGAGTGACAGGCTGTTGTAAGCTACCATGTCAGTGTTAGAAATCAAATCTGAGTTTTTTGTAAGAACAGCAAGTACTCGTAACTGCTGAGCCATTTCTAGAGCCCCCAGCTCATTGGTTGTGGTTCAAAGGAGACTGCTGGCCAGCAAGCCTGAGATCAGCCTCCTCCTCCTCCAAGTGCTGGAATCCACAGGTGTGTGCCACAGCATCCAGCCTTTTCTTTTAATTTTTTTTTGGGGGGGAGGGGGTTCGAGACAGGGTTTCTCTGTAGCTTTGGTGCCTGTCCTGGAACTAGCTCTTGTAGACCAGGCTGGCCTCAAACTCACAGAGATCCACCCGCCTCTGCCTCCGAGTGCTGGGATTAAAGGCATGCGCCACCACCACCCGGCTCAGCCTTTTCTTTTAACTTTCTATTTATGAAAAAAAATCTGTGTACAAAGTGCATATGTATCTGTATAGTGTGATGGATTTTCACAAACTGAACAGACTAACATAGCCAACACCCAAATCCAGAAATAAGCCAGTCCTCCAGAATCTCATGTGCCTGATGCTGCCGTCACCGCTCTTCCTCCCTCAATTTCCAGCACCTTTATCCTCTCATTTGTGTTGTCTGCCATATTTATTTGATCTTACAGGCCTGTGATCTTAAGACTGTATGGAATCAGGAGATGGTGGTGCACACCTTTAATCCCAGCTCTTGGGAGGTAGAGGCAGGTGGATCTCTGTGAGTTTGAGGCCAGCCTGGTCTACAGAACAAGTTCCAGGACAGCCATGACTGTTACACAGAGAAACCCTGTATCAAAAAAAAAAAAAAAAAAAAAAAGAAAGAAAGAAAGAAAGAAGAAAGAGAAAGAAAAGAAAAACTATATGGATCAGCAAACTGCTTTGCGAGGTTGTGGTAGTGTGTTTGTTTGCTAATGTCTTGCTTGTGTCTGTCAGATGCCTGCCTCAGCAGACAGTGGACATTTGGTGCATTATCTTGCCCTAATGTAGAAAATCAGCAGTAGTCATACAAAGACAATTATTTAGTTTGTGTTTCACATTGTAAACCCAACTTGGATGAGATGTTGCTCTGAGGTTTTTGTTTTGTTTTGTTTGAGACAGGGTCTCACTCACTATGTAGCCCTGGCTGTCCTGGAATTCACTCTGTAGACCAGACTGACCTCAAACTCACAGAGATCT